TTTTTTTTTTTTTTTTTAGTGGAGATAGGGTCTCATTCTTGTTCAGGCTGGTCTTGGACTCCTGAGTGCAAATGATCCTTCTGCCTTGGCCTCCCAGAGTGCTAGAACTACAGGCATGAGCCACTGCTCTTGGCTGCTTTGATTTTTTTAAAATGCTGTCCGGCATTGTTACCCAAATCAAATAATGATAGTATTGTAATTCTAACAATGTTTGGAGTTATGTTTGGGCTAAAGGAAAACCTTATAAATGGAATAAAGATAATAGACCAGAATCATTACACCTTTGGTGGACTAGAAAGTTTGTGAAGGACATTTTTTCTCTTTGCAGTACTAGTGTAGAATAGTTTATGGCATTTAATCTGAATTATGTTAATTATACTTGTTGAATAAAATAATGGTGTCTGGATAAACTACTAGTTTTCTCTTCTTCCTTTTTTTTTTTCTTTTTTTTTGACAGAGTCTCACTCTATTGTCCAGGCTAAAGTGCCAGAGTCTCATCCTAGTTCATAGCAACCTCGAACCCCTGCGTTCAGGTGATCCTCCTGTCTCAGTCTTTTGAGTAGCTGGGATTAGAGGTCCCAGCCACAATGCCTGGCTAATTTTTTGCATTTTAAATAGAGACAGGGTCTCACTCTTGCTTAGACTGATCTCAAAATCCTAAGCTCAAGGGATCTGCCTGGCTAGGCCTCCCAGAATGCTAGCCAGAATTACAGGTGTGAGCCACGGTGCCCAGCCAAACCACTGGTTTTCTTATCAGTATAATAAAGGTGGATGTTAATACCTTTAAATGCCAGGTACCATTCTGGGAAAATCTGTCTGCCTCATGTTTATTATTAGAAGAATCTAAATTAATTTTAGAATACTTACAAATTGAAAACATCTCTAAGGTCTCTCATTCTTTCTTAAACTATGATACTTAATTTGTTTAAGAAAACTACTGTCATTATTTAGGTATTCAAACATTGTTTACTTACGAGTTCCATTCTTACGGAGTATACTGGCTGGTATTAGATGATGATTATTTATGAAAAGAGGATGCTTCCTACAAATTAGATTTATTTGGTCATTAAGCTCTTTTTGTAGAACACAACTCCTTGGATGTGTGAGTCTAACAGACGTTTGGATAATTCTTTCTTTTTTTTTTTTTTTTT